TGTATGTGCGTTTTTTCTTAACGCTACATACATGACGTGCATGTACAATTATTGAAAATTATATCAGCAATTAATGTATGTAATATTTACACAAAGTACACAATTATCAATTTTAGAAAATTTGATGAAAATTTTGTACTTATATCATGTTATTGTTGTCTTGTTTGTAAACAATAAAATTTTAAAAAAATAAAATATTCTAATTTTTGTAAAAAAAAAGTTGGAACATGTAATAAATAGTAGAAATGTTGTGACCATAACTTCCCAATGCATTAAGCATAATTATGAACACAAATCCTCTTAAGTAACTTGAGTGTTCAAAGAATATATTGCATTGATCTTTCATGAAAACTTTGTGTTCATATATACGCCTTTGGACGTATTGATTCCTTGATTAACAATGCTAGTGACAAAGGTAATTCCACTCCCCATTTTTCTACTTTTATACAATTCCTATAATATATGAATTTTTGTTTTCATAAATAATACTATACATATACCTTTAACCTTGTATTTCAATAGAATATGAACCAACTAGTTAATTAAGAGGAGTCAGAAAAAATAGGTTTAATTCTATTTAAGAGGAATGAGAAAAAATATATTATATTATTTTACTACCATGTGAAAAGAATGAGAAATTTATCCTCTAGTTTTTCATTTTGATTTTTCTTTTATTTGCTTAATTTGATACCTCATTTTATGGACCTTTCGATCTTACATATTCTTCTTCTTTTTTCCATGTGTTGTATGTAACATCCCAAATTTTATACTTTATGAAAATTATTTTTTTCCATTTTTTGGTTGGTTATCCTTATTTATCCTTCTAAAAATGTTGCGAGTGTAATATATATATATATATATATATACAGAGAGAGAGAGAAAGAGAGGAATCTGTTTATTTCAGGAATAAGTCTACCTAAACTTACTCGGTTTAGTAATTTATGTTCAACATCAAATTTCAACGATCTAATCGTTGAATTTATATTTTTTAATATATAGATCAAATATGTAAATTTTTTAAAATAAAATATCAAATAATTTTAAATTTTTTAGAAAAACTTGTAGACTTAATCTATACATTAAGAACCTTAAATTTAACGATTGGATTATTGAAATTTAATGTAAAATATAAGTTATTGAACGAAGTAAGTTAAGATATATTTATTTCTAAATTAAACGTGTATATGTATATATATATATATATATATATTTGAGGAGATATTTGTTTATTCTAGAAGTAAGTCTACCTAAACTTACTTCGTTCAATAACTCATGTTGTATATCAAATTTCAACGATCCAACTGTTGAATTTAAAGTTCTTAATGTATAGATCAAATCTGTAAATTTTTAAAAAATTTAAAAATTATTTGATATTTCATTTCATTAATTCAAATTGACGGATAATCATAAAATTATTTTATATATTGATTTGAATTAATGAAACGAAATATCAAATAATTTTTAAATTTTTAAAAAATTTACATATTTGATCTATATATTAAAAAATATAAATTCAACGATTAGATCGTTGAAATTTGATGTTGAACATAAATTACTAAACCGAGTAAGTTTAGGTAGACTTATTCCTGAAATAAACAGATTCCTCTCTTTCTCTCTCTCTCTGTATATATATATATATATATATATTACACTCGCAACATTTTTAGAAGGATAAATAAGGATAACCAACCAAAAAATGGAATAAATGCATACTTTTAGTTAATTTTAACTCCAAATTTTATTATGTGTAAATTTATCTATATTTTGTTTTCGCGCATCTACGGTTGAACATTTAATATATACTTTATTCTTTAACTAATATCTTTGAACTACTCATAAAGAACCATTTTTCTATATTTATGAACTTTTCCTTCACAAGTTTCTTACTAATGTTTATTTTCTTTATGATATAAAACAGGTACTAAACTACATCATGTTTAATTTATTCGGTTTTTATCATCTTATTTAATTGATCAAATCAATATATAAAATAATTTTATGATTATCCGTCAATTTGAATTAATGAAATGAAATATCAAATAATTTTTAAATTTTTTAAAAATTTACAGATTTGATCTATACATTAAGAACTTTAAATTCAACAGTTGGATCGTTGAAATTTGATATACAACATGAGTTATTGAACGAAGTAAGTTTAGGTAGACTTACTTCTAGAATAAACAAATATCTCCTCAAATATATATATATATATATATATACATATACACGTTTAATTTAGAAATAAATATATCTTAACTTACTTCGTTCAATAACTTATATTTTACATTAAATTTCAATAATCCAATCGTTAAATTTAAGGTTCTTAATGTATAGATTAAGTCTACAAGTTTTTCTAAAAAATTTAAAATTATTTGATATTTTATTTATTTAAATTGATGGATAATCATAAAAATATTTTATATCTTGATTTATTCTTAAACTAAACGAATTTCTCTCTCACTCACACACACATATTGACATATATATACATATTGTGGTCAAGTAAAGTTAAAGATTAATTTAGGTTTTCGGTAGTAGTTCAAGAGCGCTTTACAATATCAAATTTTAGTAGTGCTATCTATAAAGACTTTGATGCTTAATTCAATACACAACCTCTCTCTCTCTCTCTCTCTGTAAATTTGCAAACTTTATTCTTTTGTCCCTTTAGTCATAAATAAAATTATAGCCATTATGCATTTTAACAATGCTACATTTTGTATTGTTTTTTAGTCATGCCAATAGATAAAACGTGGATTACTAAACCACGAAACATAATTGAATATGCAAATGGGTTGAACATGTTTTTGGACTTTGCTTATGAACATGCTAATGGTCATGTTATTAAGTGTCCATGTTCAAAGTGTGGCTTTAAAAAGTGGCAAACTAGGGATATAGTTCAAGAACACCTAACATGTAGACCTTTCCCTGAAAATTACAAAATGTGGTATTTGCATGGTGAAGGACCAAGTGTAAGTGAATCTAGGGCCTCTCAAAGTGCACATGTCATACAAGATTCTTTAGGACCTCAAAATCCAATGGAAGACATGTTGACTGATGCATTTGGGTTTGTGGGGCATGGTGTAAATGATTTTGAAGGGCCTTTAGAGGATGATGAAATGCAAAATAATATGGTGCATGATGAAGATAATGTAGAGTTTGATGCGTTGTTGATAGACAATAACCAACAATTATATGAAGGTTGTTCAAAGTATTCCAAGTTATCCTTCATGTTGAAATTGTATCATATAAAGTGCATGTGTAGAATGAGTGACAAAGCAATGACAATGATTTTAGAATTGTTAAAGGATGCATTTGAACATGCTAAGTTTCCTAACTCATTTTACGAGGCCAAGAAAATTATTAACAAACTTGGTCTTAGTTATATCAAAATACCAGCATGGCCAAAAGATTGCATGCTATATTGGGGTGAAGAGAATGAAGGGTTAGAAGAATGTAAAAGGTGTAAGATGTCTAAGTGGAAGGATAAGAAAAAAAAAAGCAATATGCAAAGATCTTGCGTTACTTTCCACTAAAACCAAGATTGCAAAGATTGTTTATGAGTTCTAAGACTGCTGATTCTATGACATGGCATGTATCAAAGGATAACCAAAATGGATTGATGAGGCATCCTAGAGATTCTGAGGCATGGAAAACATTTGACATACTTCATCCTGAATTTGCTAATGATCCTTGAAATGTACATCTTGGTTTAACTAGCCATGGTATCAACCCCTTTGGAAGCATGAGTACAAGCCATAGTATATGGCCGGTTGTCCTCATCCCAAACAATCGCCCTCCTTGGGAGTGTATGAAGCAAACCTCATTCATCCTCTCTATGATAATTCCTGGAAAATAAATGGCAGGAAATGACATTGATGTATACTTACAACCACTCATCAAAGAGTTGAAGGAATTATGGTTTGATGGAGTGCAAACATTTGATTCTTCAAGAAAAGAAATGTTTAAGATGCGAACAACTTTGATGTGGACAATTAGTGACTTCCCTGGGCTCAGTAATTTATCTGGTTGGAACACACACACTAGTCTTGCTTGCCCCACTTGTAACTTTGACACAGACTCTTGTTGGCTATATAGGGGAAAATTTAGTTTTATGGCTCGCCATCGATTTTTAGATAAAAAGCACAGATTCAGGCATCGTCGATCTCTTTTTAATGGAAGAATTGAGCTAAGGGATCCGCCAGTAACTTTGTCAGGGTCAGACATATTTAAACAAGTTAAGGATATCAATGTTACCTTTGGAAAACCATTAGTGTTTGATGATACTAGTAAAAGGACTCGAGGAAGAGAAATTGTTGGAGTAGAATAATGGAGGAAGAAAAACATATTTTTTGACCTTCCTTATTGGGAGAACAACTTGTTACACCATTGTCTAGATGTTATGCATATTGAAAAAAATGTTTGTGACAATGTGCTTTACACTTTTCTCAATGACCCTAAGAAATCAAAAGATAATCTTAAAGCACGAAGGGTTCTTAAAGAAATGGGTATAAGGAAGGAACTTTGGCCAAATGATAAAGGAAGATTTCGGCCAACATTATTTTCATTGTCCAAAGCAAAGAAAAAAATATTTTTGCAAACTTTGAAAAATGTTAAAGTTCTAGATGGATACTCAAGTAATATTTCAAGGTGTATTGACATGAAAAATGGAAAGTTCTATGGCCTAAAAATTCATGATTGTCATATTCTTATGGAACAATTACTACCTATTGCGATACGTAATGTTTTACAATGTGACTGCGGTGCTAGTAGAGTTGTGTTCCTTTTTTCGACAATCATGGTGCATCTAACTTGTCATAGATCTTGATAAACTCGAGTCTCGCATTATTGAAACTCTTTGTCATTTGGGAATGTTATTCCCTCCTACCTTCTTTACAATCATGGTGCATCTAACTTGTCACCTAGCTACTAAAGCAAAACTTGGAGGCCCGATACATTATCGTTGGATGTATCCCGTTGAAAGGTAAATGTTATATTATGTGAGTTTTCTATTTTATGGAAAAGTGTAAATATCGTATGTAATAATTGTCAAAACATGTTACAAGTATCTAGGTCAATTGATGAGATAAATAAAGACTGGTCAATTGTTGTCCATTTGAAACCACGAGACTTGTATGATATGGGAGTAGAAGGAGATAGTGAAGTTTATGAAGTTGAACCATTTCCGCAACAAGACTTCAATCAATTTTTCAGGGACTTTGATCAATTTCCACTGTTTAGGGAGGATGAAGATGATGAATTAATAAATGAGGAGAATCCTAATTATGAATTTGAAGAAAATAACTCAATGTCAGAGTAATAACTTTTTCATGGTATGACTCTAGGTTATATTTTGGTAATACACATGTATTTTAGCTATAAATGAAATGTTATTGTTAACTTTGTTAAATACTTAACATATATTGGTTTTCTGTTATAAATGTTACTATATTTAATTGTTTCATTTTTATGTGCAGATATGCCAAAGCCAAAAAGGATTAGGAACTTGCTGAAATCAGTTGCTGGAACCCCCCCAAATTCAACATGTTACATCTTGTTCAAGTCCATCTGTTGGTAACCATTTGCAAACTAATGATTCACCTCAACCTACACAAGAGGAAATTGCACAACAACAAAGCACACAACATGAAACTACTCAAGAGGAAACTACACAACAACCAAGTACAGAGCAAGAAACTACACAAGAGGAATCTGCACAACAAAGCACACAAGTAGAAGTTGAAACAGTGCAACGTAAAGGTGGAAGACATTCCACCCATTATTGGTTTGTTGATGTTATAGGTAAATTGTGTTATTTTTGTATAATTTGTTTTCCTTTTAATTTCATCATAATATTGATTCTAGATTTAAGAACATTATATTTATTATTTTGTAGATGAGCATAAAGTTTCTAAGAAATTAAAGGTGAAGGTTAAGGATGTTCATAACTTTCCTAATGGATTGCATGCTATTGTCAACTATGATGAGAGATTTCAACCTATTGGAGAGGCATCCGGTTTACTTGGAGGGGTTTGTGGACAATTAGCAACAAATCACCTTTTGTGTCCTATAAGTTTTGAAAGTTGGTCATATGTTCCAGATACTTATAAGGATAATGTGTGGGATACTGCCTTGAAGGTAATTTTACCTAAATTGCATGTTTTATATTTTTTGTATTTATACTATGGTTGAGAACTAACTTTGTTTTATTTGAAGTCTCAATTTTTTTTCAAGGTAAATAAAGATTTGGCAAAAAGAGATGTTATGTTTAAAGTTGGAAAGCTATGGAGGGAGTACAGATGTAAGCTCTGGAATGAATTTTATGACCCACTTTTGAGTAGAAATGATCTTATCAAGAATGTTCCAAAGGGACTTAGCATGGATCAATGGGCACTATTTGTTGATTACCGCTTGAAAACTTCTACAATGGTAGAAACTTTTAGTGATTATAGTTACATTTGCCTTATGATAAACTTGTAGAAATTGATTTTATTTTTATTTGCAGAACCTTTGTAATAGAAATAGAGAGATAAGGAAAAGACAAACTATTCCTCACACTGGTGGTGCCATGCCTTTGTCAAGGAGAAGGGATAATTTGGTAGTTTACATACAATATGATTTTATTCTCTAATTTTTTACTTATATTATTTTTTTATACTTATAGAGAATTGAGACTGGTAGGACTATTGGCCAAGGCAAAATATGGAAGATCACTCACAAGAGAAAAAATGGCACCTATGTTGATGATGAGGCTATGGAAATAGGGGTCAATAAATTTAGATTTTTCTTTAAATTTTAGATTATTGCATTTTATTTGCATGTATGGATGATTGTTGCATGTTCTGTATTGAGATTTGTCTATGCTTATATGCAATGAATTATTTCTGCAACCATCATGCCTATGCCAGAGTTCAAAATTTTGCTTGTATATTTGTTCCAAAGGTTGTTTACATGTTACGGGTTTCTTGGAAAATATGTAGGAATTAGTGTTAAATGATTTCTGTTTATTTGGTTCATATTGTTAAATGTTGAATTTCTTGGTAGTGATGGTAAAGGGTTTAGTTTTTTTATTGTGCTCATACTTGGACGATGTAATGGTTAGTTAATTCCACCAGCTAGGCTTACAGTATTTATTAATTGAGTTATATTGATGGTCATTATTGTTCTATTTGTGCTATGTATGTTTATGTAGGAGAAAATTGATGAATTATTGTTGCAAAACCCAGAAATTGCATATGATATTTCTCCAAATGATCCAATTGGTGTCATATTTGGTAAAGAGCATCCAAGTCGTGTTAGAGGATTATCATTCAGAGCTTGTCCTACCCTTGCTTTTAAGCATACCACCACAAGGCTAAGTGGTGTCACCTTTGGTTCAACTAGTGCAAGTGCACTAAATATGGAAGAAAAGTTTGCAGATATGCAAAATGAACTTGCAACTGTTAAATCTCAAATGCAAACGCTTCTTTCTTATATTGCTGGAGGATGCAACATACCTGAAGATTTGGCTGTAATGGCTGCTGGCTTAGTTCATACTTCTGTTAATCAAGTATATAATTAAATAATTGAAAATGATTAAGTTAAGAAATGTGCATATGTTGTCTTAGTTTTATTGTATTAGGTGATTGAAATTAATTGATATAAAAAAATTTATTTATTTCAGGCATCAGATGTTGGAAGTGGTGCTCTATCACCAAACAACATAAGAGGATCATCAAGAGGAAGCAATGGTGATAACGAGGGTGGCCAAAGGAAGGCTAGTTAGGCACATTAGTATATTAGAAAATGCTACTTTAGTTTATGTAATGAATCTAAAACTTATGAAGTACTTTGAGTCTCTTTGATAGAACTATTTATGTTTTCCCTAATACAAGTATTGAATGAATCAACTTTATGTTTTGTATTTTGTTATTACAAGTTGAAGTATATTGAATGAACTTGGTTGGTTGAATTTTTTAAGAGTTGTTGATTACTTCTATTTCACACAATTATGACATTTTGAATATACAAGTGTTTTTACAATTTAAAATATTTAATTAAAAATTCATTTTTTATAAATAATTATGATGAAAATAAAAAATATTTATTTATTTGAAAATTACGACAGTTAAAAGTGTCATACTTTTATGTACAAATTGTTATAATAATGGCAGTTTGATCACGCCATATTATTATGGAAATAATGACGCTCAAAATTGTCATTATTAACCTATATAATCATTTTTTATTGTGTAATTTACGACATTTTAAAGTGTTATTATTTACAAGTCTAAACCGTCGCTTTATACAATGTATTAAATGGCGGGTGTTGTGACGGTGCACTTATAACCATCATTTTTTACTTTGTGGTGGCATAAATTATGACACTACAGGGAACCGTCGCACATGTATATATTGACGGTCATAAATGCCATTATTTACAATTACAACTGCCATTATTAACGCGTTTTTTTGTAGTGCAAGAAAATCTAGGTACCAACATCTCAAAGCATTCCATTGTATATCTCCTTGGTGGGAAGAAGAAAGGATTCAGGTTGGTACCTAGATAGTGGCTACTCATGACATATGATGGGAGAAAGGTCTATGTTCATAGATCTCCAACCACATGAATGGTCTGTGTCCTTCTAAAATGGCAAAGGGAAAATAAAGGGCATAGGTAAGATAAGTAATGCATCTATACCCATTTAACATAATGTTTTATATGTTGAAGGTCTAAAGTATAATCTACTTAACATAAGTCAATTATGTGATAGTGATTATACTATAGTCTTCGAAAAAGACTCATACATAGTCATGCAAGATGATGAATTTGTGCTTTTTGCAACTCAGAGGAAGAATAATCTTTATAAGATTGATTTGACTAGTTTAAGCAAACATAATGTAACATGTCTAGTGTCTAGAGAAGATGAAAGATAGATTTGGCATAAAAACTTAGGCATGTCCATATCAAACATATTTCTAAAATAAGCAAGAAATGCTAAGTAAGGGGACTATCTAAGATATCTTGGAAAATTCATCTTCTCTATGATGCATATTAGAAAAGGATACAAAGTAAATCTTCTTTTAAATCTAAAAAGGTTATTTCAACTTCTAGACCACTAGTACTGTTACATATGGATCTTTTGGTCCAACTAGGACATTGAGTTTGGGAGGCAAAAAGTATGTATTTGTCATTATAGATGACTATTTTAGATATACATGGGCATTCTTCTTAAGCCACAAACACGAGTCGTTTAGGGTTTTTGAAATATTTTGCAAAATCAAGATATCTTGCTGAACTTCTCTTCACCGAGAACTCCTCAACAAAATAGGTTAGGTGAAAGGAAGAACATAACCTTGTAGGAGATAGCTAGAACTCTCCTTTACAAAAATAATTTGCCAAAATATTTTTGGGCAGAGGTTGTTTTACATTCTAAACAAAATATTAATAATACCTATGCTAAACCCCACTCCTTATGAATTGTGGAGAGGAAGAAAATCCAACATCTCATACTTTCATCCCTTTAAATGTGAGTGTTTCATTTTGAACACTAAGGATCAACTTGGAAAGTTTCACTTTAAAGTGGACAAGGGGATCTTATTTGGATACTCTGAAACTTCAAAGGAATGTAGGATGTTCAACTCTAGAACCTCTATTATGGAAGATTTGATCCATGTGAAGTTTAATGATAATCAAAAGTTTGACAAGAAAATATCTGATCTAGAGGATGATTTTACAGATTTACAGAATGAAGATCATCAAACAATGGAGACAAATGTTGTAACTTAGATGTTGGAACCTCCAAAAAGCCAGATGAATCAACCAGACAAAGTTTCAAGACCTTAGAGAAATTTGAAATTCGTGCACCATCATCTAGAAGATCAAATCCTTGCTGATAAAGCTGAAGGAGTAAAAACTCACTCTACTATTCGGGACCTTGCCTCATATGCACTAGTATTTGAGATCAAGCCTAAGTACATAGGCGAAGAACTGATAGACAATGATTGGATCATTGCATGGAGGAAGAACTCCATCAGTTCAAAAGGAACAATGTCTAGACCCTCTTGCTAAATCCAGATCATTAGACTGTCATAGGAACTCGATGGGTTTTTAGAAATGAGCTTGATGAAGAAGGTAAAGTGGCAAGAAATAAAGTTAAATTAGTAGCCCAAGGTTATAATCAACAAGAAGGTAGCAACTTTGCTTTAACCTTTGCTCCTGTTGTGAGACTCGAAGCTATACAAATTATGTTAGCTTTTGCAGCTCACAAAAACATAAAACTTTTTCAAATGGACTTAAAGAACACATTTTTAAATGGTTTTAATGATGATTTTTTAAGCTTTTAGTGACAAATATTATTATCACTAAATATAATTTTTCTTGTAGTGCTCTAAAAAAGCTCTTTACAGACTAAAACAAACTCCTAGAGCTTGGTACAAACTAAGTAATTTTCTACTTATTTATTGTTTTGTGAGAGGCAATTGGTTGACACTACCTTGTTCAAAAAAGATTCTAGAACAAATTTCATAGTAATACAAATTTATGTAGATGGTATTATTTTTGGTACTACTAATGAATTTATGTGTGAGAATTTTTCCAATTTGATGCAAACGGGGTTTAAAATGAGCATGATGAGGGAACTTAAATATGTAAAGTTACCTTGAAAACTCTTGTTTGAATATGTTTAGTAACAAACTTGGTAATCTATTAACACAGAGGACATTTGAATATCCTTTTTCCAGTAACAGGTTTTGGTAATCTATTACCACCTAGGATAATTGATTACCCTGGACAGTTTTCATTTTCTGGTTCAAATAAAGAGCATGTAACAATCTTCCTTCACAAGTAGTAGATTACTTTTGTTATTACTCTTTATAACTGAATCACGTCTTGCACTTTATAAAATCAATCTTTTTGAAATTAAAAAAAATAGATTAGAAACCCTTTAAAAATCTTTTGGAAAGAAAAACATTTTAGAAAATGAATACTTTCAGAAAACAGAGATTAAAGTGTTACCAAAGAAATTTTCTAAAATTTCAAGAAGTGCAAAGATAAAACATGAATTCTTGAAAGAAGAAATTTAAGAACTGTATTCAATAGTGAAAGATCAACATCTTCACAGAATTAGGTGATATTACTCTAATCTTTAAACCAGTATTTTCATTTTTGATTGATGTATCTCTTGAGATAGTGTCTCAATAAGAGAAATGAAATCTTGAGTAGGGTTTCTCAAGTAATTTTTGTGGGGTACAGAAATTTTGATTGTTCTCAATCTTGTGGTGTCAAGATTGATGTGTGTTTGAAATTCTTGTAATATTGTGTGTGCAAGGTGTTTGTAAATAATATTATAGTGAATGATCTTTGATTTGGTGGGGTGCTAAATCAAGGAAAATTGGATGTAGGCCAAGTGGATGGCTGAACCAGTATAAATTTCTGTGTTCTTCATCTTCTTACCCTTATATTTAAGAATCTTGTTGATTTCTTATTTTAAAGATTTTAAAGATTCGAGAAAAATGAAATTTCAATTACAGTATCAACTTTGATCTTTATTCTTGTAATTGAACTTGGTTAAAAAGAAGGTAATATAAACTCAACCTTGATTACAAGTGATTGATCCGCTGCATATACTTTGATATTCTGTTACGTCAGTAATAGACCTTGTAATCTACTACTATTTGTTATTCAAATTGTATAAAGGTTGTATCTTAGATTTATTGATAGGTTGTTTTTCAAGAATTGTGCGAAAAAAGTGTTATCTTAGGTTAGAATCTATTCAACCCCCCCTTCTAGATTCTAGTACACTGGGACCAACAAATGCCATTTCTCAGGAGACTGTCTCATCTTCTGAGCAAGCAAGAAGCAAAACTCCATTGAATTATCTACAATTAAAGTTGAATATATCTCTACAGTCGGATGTTCCTCACAACTTCTATGGGTCAAATATCAACTTGAAGACTACTCAAGTTTTGAATCATCTATCCCAGTTTTTTGTGACAACACTAGTGCCATCAACTTGTCTAAGATTCCCATACAACATTCCAAAAACTAAGCATATTGAAATAAGATATCATTTCATTTGTGATTAAGTCCAAAAAGGAGTTTTTGACATAATGTTTATTGATAATAATCATCAATGAGATGATGTATTTACAAAGGCTTTAACTGAGGAACGCTTTGTCTTCATTAGAGACCATTTATTTTTAAAACAACTGTTAGATTAAAATTCATATTTGCTACATATGTCATACATCATTTATAAATTTCATCTTTCATTTGACCATGCATCATCTATGTTTTCTGACGTGGAAATCATAATGAAGCAAATGTGCCCTAACGTTTCGTCTAAGTGTTTCAAGTGCAATTAATGCTCATAAATGCAAAATATTATTAATGCACAATCATCAAGAAAAAGAATGTGAGAAGAGGAGTTGAGAAGACATGTCTGACACTACCTACCTAAAAGAATCCACCTAACTTTCCTTTTTTCCCTAGCCTATAAATAGCCTCCTCAAAAAAATTTTGCCTACGTTTTGAAAAACTGCCCTTGTTCATCTTCTTCAACCTCTAGCCTTTCTTTACAACCTTTACCCAATCACCATGCTCTCACAAAAATGGCACCCAAAATAGGACCATTAGGACAAAAGGTACCAATGGAAGAGTACCTTCTAGATGTCTTCCTTCCTAGGAAGACAATAGTCATCACTGACTTCTAGGCCGACGATTATCCGGTCCAACATTTTTTGGACCTTACTGGTTGAACAAAGTATGCGCTCTTGAAGGTGGATTGGTTTGGCACGTTGTACGCTCACTATTGGGCGTCAGCAGTATAGGAGCCAAATGCCATATATATGTATATATATAGACATATATATAAAAGATCAAGTTACTTTAAGAGTAATTGTCGATAAAGTTACTTCACTCAATAATACACGGTGTATGTTGAATTTTAATAATCCAATTACTATATTAAAAAATTTTAATGCATAAATCAAGTTTATAATTTTTTTTTTAAATTAAAAACTATTTGATAATTTGTTTCATTAATTCAAATTGATAGATAATTATAAAATTATTTTATATGTTGATTTGAATATATATTAGGAAGTATTGTATGATTTTAATTTTTTTAAAAATCTTGGAGACTTAATTTACATATTAATAACTTTGAATTTATCGATTGGATGTTGAAAGTTAACATACATCATGAATTATTAAGTGAAATAACTTCAACATAAGTTATTCTTAAAGTAATTTGATCCCTCCTCATATATATATATATATATAATTTTTTTAGTTTTATCTCTAACTCGTATGAGATTTGAATTTTTTTCAATACACCTCTTCATACTTAATATTATTATATTTGGTATGTGAATAAATAATAAGTGATTATTTTTTATGATCTAGGATAGGTGAGAGTTGAATTTATATATATATATATATATTGTTACTAGTTTTAACTTTGAGTTAATCATCCATACACTGTCAGTGTAAATTTTTTTACACTGACAACCAATCATATCTTTTAAAGTTGCTTATTTTATTATTATTTTATTAAATAAGCAACTGACATGTCATTATTAAAAGATATGATTGGTTGCTAATGTAAAAAAATTTTACACTGATAATGTATAGGTGATTAACTCTTTAACTTTTAACTCTCTCTTTTTTTTTTCACCAAGCTGTAAACATTATTCTTAAAGGAGTGTGAAAAAAAAAAGTTTAATTAGAAAATGCATTGTGGGTTGTTTTCCAGCACTTAATAAATTGAATGACAATGCCGTGTCTAAATTACGATGACAATAGCATCCTTCAATGCCAGATTAAAAGTAGTATTGTTTACGATAATCAACCACGTTATGTTGGGTTCCACCTAATAAACAAATCAGAATTTGACTTTCAGAGACCATGTTTTACGAAATGTTGGCCATAGTAACCCCATTTGACTACTAACACCAAGGAGACGGAAAAACAAAAACATTGATACTATTTAATAATTAATTAAGAGAACTTGTTAGTTAGGCAAAGCCCTATTTTTGTTACAAGTTTTAGGGTTTTGCTCCCTAATGCTGGCCTTTAGAGGCAAAAGTGAGGGCATAAGACACTCAACATATTCCTAATAATTACACACATTTGGCAAAATTGTAACCTAAAAGGCACCCTAATAAGTTGGATGTAAGTACTAGCTAGCTTCAAGACCAACTTCTTCTCTTCGCCATTTTCATGGACCAACCGGCAATTTCTTGTTGTGTATGGGACGTCGTCTTCTCACTTGGGTATAATCCATAGTAAAGTATTGTGAAGGGTCATCCACCTCCATCCATTCTTGTCTTGTCCCCTTTTTCCCATGCACCATGTTTTGCTTTCTATCATATTGCTTCCCTGTAAAAGTGGCATAATTTCATAAACATGTTGAATTAGTGAATAATCTTGTATTTTAAGTTAAATAATGTGGTACAAGATGAGTGGATTCAAATAAAATATAATATATCATGCACGTTTAAAACAAATCCTTTTTGGGTTTAAATATATAGAATATTGTTGTATGATTGTATCACTTATTATTTAAGTTCAATTATAAAACGGAAAAGCGTTACTGTTTTTGGAGATATCACAAAAGAAGGAAAGGGGTCACTTCATTGGTGGCACACTACGTGTGATCAATTAGCATGACTCACGAAGCTCAATTCTTGTAGTTTTTGAAACTCTGATGTTTTTATTTTTTTATTGAACAAGAAAATAATTTTGTTATACTTATAATAGTAATTCTAACCCGTTATATAATGGCAACAATTACTATTATTATAGTTACAAGATTTCCTAGGTGACTGAAGTTATACTCCATTGGCAACGATCAACGCACCTCCAAAATTATCACAGTAAGGGAATTTCTTCTCCACAACAACAAAAAGAAGAAGACAGATTTAAACTTTATTAAAAGATATGATTGGTTGCTAATGTAAAAAAATTTTACACTGATAATGTATAGGTGATTAACTCTTTAACTTTTAACTCTCTCTTTTTTTTTTCACCAAGCTGTAAACATTATTCTTAAAGGAGTGTGAAAAAAAAAAGTTTAATTAGAAAATGCATTGTGGGTTGTTTTCCAGCACTTAATAAATTGAATGACAATGCCGTGTCTAAATTACGATGACAATAGCATCCTTCAATGCCAGATTAAAAGTAGTATTGTTTACGATAATCAACCACGTTATGTTGGGTTCCACCTAATAAACAAATCAGAATTTGACTTTCAGAGACCATGTTTTACGAAATGTTGGCCATAGTAACCCCATTTGACTACTAACACCAAGGAGACGGAAAAACAAAAACATTGATACTATTTAATAATTAATTAAGAGAACTTGTTAGTTAGGCAAAGCCCTATTTTTGTTACAAGTTTTAGGGTTTTGCTCCCTAATGCTGGCCTTTAGAGGCAAAAGTGAGGGCATAAGACACTCAACATATTCCTAATAATTACACACATTTGGCAAAATTGTAACCTAAAAGGCACCCTAATAAGTTGGATGTAAGTACTAGCTAGCTTCAAGACCAACTTCTTCTCTTCGCCATTTTCATGGACCAACCGGCAATTTCTTGTTGTGTATGGGACGTCGTCTTCTCACTTGGGTATAATCCATAGTAAAGTATTGTGAAGGGTCATCCACCTCCATCCATTCTTGTCTTGTCCCCTTTTTCCCATGCACCATGTTTTGCTTTCTATCATATTGCTTCCCTGTAAAAGTGGCATAATTTCATAAACATGTTGAATTAGTGAATAATCTTGTATTTTAAGTTAAATAATGTGGTACAAGATGAGTGGATTCAAATAAAATATAATATATCATGCACGTTTAAAACAAATCCTTTTTGGGTTTAAATATATAGAATATTGTTGTATGATTGTATCACTTATTATTTAAGTTCAATTATAAAACGGAAAAGCGTTACTGTTTTTGGAGATATCACAAAAGAAGGAAAGGGGTCACTTCATTGGTGGCACACTACGTGTGATCAATTAGCATGACTCACGAAGCTCAATTCTTGTAGTTTTTGAAACTCTGATGTTTTTATTTTTTTATTGAACAAGAAAATAATTTTGTTATACTTATAATAGTAATTCTAACCCGTTATATAATGGCAACAATTACTATTATTATAGTTACAAGATTTCCTAGGTGACTGAAGTTATACTCCATTGGCAACGATCAACGCACCTCCAAAATTATCACAGTAAGGGAATTTCTTCTCCACAACAACAAAAAGAAGAAGACAGATTTAAACTTGTACTTTTCATCAGTATATTTTGATTTATTAAAAAAAATGGCAGAACAAACAATACCAGAAAATTTAACCAGGAGTATAGTCAGTTTAAGTGAAGATATAACCCATAATATGTGGCTAGAGCTTTTCTTTATGAATTAATAAGGAAAGTTTATCACTAAATCCTATGTTTTATATATATATATATATGAGAAGAAATTTTTTTACCTCAAAATTAAGTTTTGGTAGATTTATTATATTCAATAATTCATATTTTATATCAAATTTTAGCGATCGAACTATTAAATTAAAAGTTCTTAATATATATATATATTAAATTTGCAAATTTTAAAAAAGAAATTAAAAATTATATGATACTTCGTTACATAGATTCAAATCAACATATAAAATATTTTTATAATTATCCATCAATTTGAATTAATGAAATAAAGTATCAAATAATTATAAAAAAATTTAAAATATTTTAGACTTAATTTACACTTTAAAAACTTTTAATTCAATAATTAAATTATTAAAATTTAATATAAAACATGAATTATTGAATCAAATAAGTCTCCCAAAATTTACATACATTCATGTCAAACATCAACCACGTAAAATCGGCACATTAATTTGGAGAGGAATTAACTCTTTAGGTAGTCATGGATGAAAATGTGTATCATAAAATTTAAGTACAGTAACATGTGTTATTCTTTGATTAAAATTAGAATTTCACTTCAATAATATATATTTGCATTTAATACAGATCTTGATAATATCATTTATGTATAATATCAAGATGAAACTCTAATTATAATCAAAGAAAATATCAAAATGTAATTATATATAT